TCAGCGCATTTTAGCCCGAGGGCACCGAGTTGGACCCCAGAGAGACGCCATTGATTTGACGGTGCCAAGCTAAGAAAAATCAAGTTCTATTGCTCTAGCTTACTTCCATGCATTAAGGTCCATGGATTGTCTATGTAACTTCTCTTTGTCCATGTAAAAGTGTGTCAATTCGGATTTCTTGTCTTCATAAACCTCAATATCTGTGTTCCTATTAAACGATCAAACATGCTATCGTCTTTGAATTATCAATTTATTGCTAGGATTGAGATCTTTCAAGCTGCGCGTGTATTTATTTCACTTTGTGTGTGCGCGCCCGTGCGAAAGGTGGCAGTGTGATGGCAGCGGGAAGGCGCAAGGGCGGGACTGGCAAGACAACTATGTCTGATATATGCAGAGGAGGTGAGTGAGAGGGAGAAACTTGTGTTTATGGTTTTCTTTTTTCTTTTAAATATGGAGAACATTTCACTGAAGTTCATGGTGTTATGGTCTATTAAAATAACTGTTGAATATCAGGTCCAGTCCGCCTACGATGAGTCGATTCAAAGCCTGATCCATGTTCTTTGAGGTTCCTTTTGGAGGGAACGGGTAAATTTGGATAAGCACTCCTCTCCTTGAAACAAGCCATCATGAGTTTACATAGGAGGTGGTTGGATATAAGAGATAACAATCTCCTACTTGCACATTAATCTTAAGAAAAGGAAAAATTACTTCTTTGTTTCTCAAAGAACAGTAGACCTTATCTCCATCAAAGCACCACTACATGCAAGAGTGAGATTTATTGGATCAAGTGGCATAATTGGCTATGGAACTTGGGTATTTTCCTATAAGTAATTGCATCTTCGACCACTAGTGGTATACGCATTAGTGAAACAATCATTGATCGTGGATGTAAAAGGTATGATTATGAATTAGTTCAAGCCTTCCATTCAAGATAAGTGAAAACTCTAGAAATTAAGTTAGATTTTTCTAGTGACAAGTAAACTAGAAGTCTTGAAACTTATCTCGAAATTGTAATTGAATTATAAAACTTTTAAAAAGTGCAATCATGTCCTAAAACTCGTCAAATTGGTGCAATCGAGTCTTTCCATTAACATTGTCCATTTGTCTAACAGAAAATACTGATGTGACATTTTTTTAATTAATTTAAATTATTTTTAGATTAAAAAACTAAAAAAGGCTAAAATTTTATTTTAAAAAAACAAAACTAGAAAAAAAAAAAAAGAATGGTAGGGCCTCGCCTAGGGCGTTGTTGCCGCACCCCAACATCGAAGTGGCCGACGAGGGTGGCCGGCCCTTGACAACCTAGGTGAGGCATCGACAACCGCAGGCAAGGACCGGCAGCCCTCACCAGCCCCGGGCGAGGGCCAGCATCACCCAAATCTAGGCGAGCCTCGCCACCCCAAGTGAGGCCCTGCTAGGACTCGGCCAGGCCTAATGAGGGTCGGCGTCGCCCATATCGGGGCAAGCCAGCTGGCTCTTGCCTGGGCCTAGGAGGCCTCGCCTAGGGCTAGCCAAGACTAGCCACCCTTACTGTTGATCCCTCCAGCGATAGGCGGCAACGCCACCATCGGCAGGGCCCTGCCATTCTTTTTTCTTTTGTTCAATGTTTTTTTCTTAAAATTAAATTTTATCGTTTTTTAGTTTTTTAATCTAATTTAAATAAGACTTGAAGAAGAAAATAATGAAAAAAATGCAAGTAGGAAAGAGAAATTAATTTTAAAAGGCCATATCAACATTTTATGGTAGACAAATTGATAGTGATAACGGAAAGACTTGATTCTATCAATTCTACAAGTTTTAGGACTTGATTGCATTTTTTGAAAGTTTTAGGTTTTAATTGCACTTTCATGACAAGATTTAGGACTTTTACTGCACTTATCTCATTTATCTACTTGGCATTCTTAAACTTGGTTGTTTAATGTTTGTTCGAGTTTGGAGATTAAGTTTATTTGGCCTTTAAAAATGGCATGATGTACATCTCGTTATATTGAACTAGTGTGATCTCGTGGCTTAATTTGAAAAGTTTCCCAGATGCCTAAAAATGTATTTATGTGTTAGCAAAAAGGTTTTGTTGCAACTTGCATGGGAAAATGTGAAAATGATAAAATTAGGCCCAAAAGTAGCATTTTAGTAACTTTGACATGTCTTGGTGTAATTTTGTAAAATTTGCTCAAATGAGATGGCTATTGCAATAGTGTTATTTTATGGTTTTAAGTATTTATCTACTTGGCATTCTTAAACTTGGTTGTTTAATGTTTGTTCGAGTTTGGAGATTAAGTTTATTTGGCCTTTAAAAATGGCATGATGTACATCTCGTTATATTGAACTAGTGTGATCTCGTGGCTTAATTTGAAAAGTTTCCCAGATGCCTAAAAATGTATTTATGTGTTAGCAAAAAGGTTTTGTTGCAACTTGCATGGGAAAATGTGAAAATGATAAAATTAGGCCCAAAAGTAGCATTTTAGTAACTTTGACATGTCTTGGTGTAATTTTGTAAAATTTGCTCAAATGAGATGGCTATTGCAATAGTGTTATTTTATGGTTTTAAGTATTAATTAGCAGGTTATTAAGTTAGATAATTAAAGTAAATCAAACTGCTTAAAAATAACAAGTTTAGAAACTTTAGGGGCAAATTTGTAATTTCGCACAGCTAGGGGGCTAATTTGCTAAAACTGGAACCTAGGGCATGATTATAGAATCAGGAACCTTGTGATGACAAGTAACTAAATTATTTTTTTAATTAATTGATTAATCTAGGCAATTAATCTAACTACCCAAAATTTGGACTTTATCGCATAATTAATTTAAAAGTGGGTCGTTTTGATAATTTTATAAAACTTGTGACATTTCTATAGGTAAATAAAATATTCTTATGTCTTATATAGAAAATGAGTGGCCTAAGGTATTTATTTTAATTAGTTTGGCTTGATTCAGAAAAGATTGGAAGTTAAGAGTGAAAAAAAAAATGTGAACTGAATAACTTCATTGGAGCAGTTACGAAATTCTGGAAATTTGGAACTAGAGGCAATTAGTTTAATTTTGATGATTGAGGTGAGTTTAAGCATGACACTGTCTTAGTAATGAATTTATATGAGTTAACTAAAGTTAAAGCCTAATATTAACTTCAGGATACAAGTGCCTGAAGTATATATGTTTTAGGACTATGCATTGAAATTTTCTCGCTTTTTTAATAACTAACCAACTTTTGTTTTCCTTGATTATGAATTGTACGAATTTCTGGGCTATCATGGAAAATGACCACCTAAAATTCGAATGACTTACCAATTTTTCTCTTCTGAAATTAGCTAGTACATATAAATTGACCAACTGGCAAATCAAAAAACTTTCTAGCGGCAAAACAAGTTTTCCCTACTTAGTTAGCAGCTATGTTTAATTTATCAACTCTTATGTAAGTTCATTTCGAACTTATATTGGTGTGTTTATAAACTTTTCCCACAATGATTGAGAATCAAGGATGGTTGTGGCTTATAAGTTGGGTCTCATCCCCATTCCCATCAATAACCCTTTTCAGGACAAAACTGTGAGGCCCGCGGTCAAAGTGGACAATACCTCGTAACGGAACACGGACGAATTCCAGGATCAAAGAGAAATTTTCGATCTTCCATAAGAAATTAACCTATTAGGAGCTCCAATTTGAATCTGTCTGCACGAGAAAATTATCAAATTCATCTCATTTGATGGCTTTCGTGGTCGGTTGACAACGAAATTGACAACTTTCCTTGGAAACCACTATCTAAACATTTCATCCACAGAGACAAGGAAAAAACTATTACCGCAGAACATGGAATCGCACGCCTTTGCAAGGCAAAGAGTAGAGAACAGAAGTCCTGGTTTGAATGTGAATAGGAAAGTAAGCATCATCTGTTATTTTAAGTACACCTAACTCGCACTTTGACACTATCAATCATCATCACTTATCATTCTGGCTGTAAAGATTAGGTCGCAAGAGATATTATATTGACTAGTTACTTTGGATAAAAAGCAGTCTGAAATGGAGCCAGAGACAATAACATTCACCGATATCTCTTGACAAATGTGAGAGCTCGTGTTTTCCCCTGATAGACCCAAAATCACAGGACCAAGTGCATGATAAGCGTCGATCTCGTGGGATCCATAAAATCGATGGTTAGGACCATCTCGATCGATCGAATCTAGGTCCGGATCAGAAACTCCAGTGCTTTATCCTGCACATGCACATTTTGCTGTGGCTAATCATGATTCTGCACCGATATGATGACCCATTTCGCTCCAGCACGATCGCGGGCCGGGAATTTACACGAACTGGTCGGTCTTGTCTTGGCGTCAGCCTAAGCTAAGAATACCCAAGTGGTCGGTTTGGGCAGGCGAAGACAAATACTTGTGATGCCGACACAATCAATTTTGTGGAGAACATGTCTAAACGACTAGCTAGCAAATCTGATTTTGTTTCTTAACTAAAAGAGCTGGGAACTTGTGGGAATGAACCCACCATATGCAGCAGCATCTCTTTTATGGCCCACATGACAGAGGACCAGCATTTGCAAGAACAGTTGAAGAACTTTATTTTGGTGACGCCAAACATGTGTAGGGTGACTAAAAAATAGCTGTAACATCCCAATTATTGCACGGGGCACGAGGATGCGCATACCCATTTCATTATACGACGTTCGAAATATTATTACACGGATCGATTTACGCACTACTTGAATTCTTTCGAACTGTTAAATTAAGCACGTCGCAATTGTAAGTCCGATAAATCTTACCAGATGAAATGGTTCGGATGCATGCAATTATAATATATTGTCCCGCATGGATATTATAATATAACCTCAATAACTTTGGTCCCCATGCTTGTACTAAACCTACCATTCAAGAACCAGAAACTTAGGGACAACCTTCGATTCGGTTACCCGCCAAACCCTCAAAGGCTGTCTGGTAGTTGAGCACCAGAACTCAAGTAAAGAAGCCATCAACTACCTTTCCATTCTCCATGAAAGAAGTCAACCCTTTTCCTTTCCTTCTTCTGGGTCTTCCAGAATCGCGCACTCGCCAATCAGAAAGCTTTTCTTCAACTTCCTCTTCTTCTTCGACTTCTTATTATCATTCTCAAAGGCACGCTTTTCGTTTCCAATTGTTCTCTCGCACTCTGTTCATTCCCAGAGTCACGGACATTGGTCAAATCTTGGGCTCATTTGGGCACGCAAGAAGCAAGCTTTCGGTTACTTTTCTCCGTTTCTTGAACCAATTCTAACTTATCAGAAGCAACGCCGGGTCTGCAATCGCGAATTTTCTGAATCAGCAATCTTCGAATGAGACACGCTTGAGATGGTGCACATTGTCATTGTGAGTGGGCTCTCCGAGAAAGATTGAGCGAGCTTGATGGCTATATGTGAGGCGCTCTGAAGCAATGCAGGTAGCTTTTCTGCTTTAGCTCTCTGTGTTTCATTTCTGGATCTGCTTTGAAAACTACCAAACACAAAAAAGATGGCACGAACTAGGGCTCTAGACGAAGGAAACTATATTGTTCGACTCATGCTCTTGCACCCACGTTGATGTAAAATGCTAATTGATCAGGAGATTTGCTACATTTCACTTTACTAACTTCTCTGTTCAATACACAGAATTCTGTGTAGCACCATTATATAATGATATGATGTTTGCTTCCATTTTGGAAGTTCGTTTTTCAGGTCCGGAGTTGAACTTCGAGGAAAATAGAGAACGGACAGCCGCGAAGGCTAGAGGAAAGATAGAATGTGTTCCACGGTAGGTGGATCGAGCTAATCTAAACTTAGAGTTCAGTTTACCTTCAAAAAGCCTTCAAATATAAAGCCCAAGGAGGAGCAATTGCCTCTCTCTGTCTGTCTGTCTCTCTCTCTCTCTCTCTCTCTCTCTCTCTCTCTCTGCTCGTTCGGGAGTTCTGACAGCCGATATTCAACAATTCTTTACAGTGCTTATGTCAATTATGTCTAGTTTAGCGGGCGCGACATTTTGATTTCTGATTTGTTCCTTGCCGGTGTCAGGATGATAAGCTGGCTGAATTGTGCTTTGCATTTACGTTCTTGGCTCGGTTGGTCGCTTACATCGCAGTATTGGGTGAGTTTTCTCACAAAATTGTTACTCTCTAGATGTGTTTGATTCGAATCTCGTTAAAGGAAAGAGAGAAACATCAAAAGAGTGTAACTGGAGAGTTCATATTACCCCTTACTCAAATTCTTCCTTCTTTCTTTTCATAATTTTTGTGCGGTAACTCAACGTCTCGAAATCTCACAGCGTTGCTCGTGTTCATCGTTTTCGCGATCTTGAGATACCTGGACAACTCGGAGGATGAAAGTCCAGCAGAACGAGAGCCAGTAGTGACAGAGACAACCCCGATACAATTATTCAAGCCACCACAGTCGACGTACGGGACATGTGAGGAGGACATAGAAACCGGCAGCTGTGGCAGCAGCTCCTCGGAGGAGTTGTATGATGGGAAGATTTGTGTGATTTGCTACGACGAGGAAAGGAATTGCTACTTCGTCCCTTGTGGCCATTGTGCTACCTGCTATGACTGTGCTCAGAGGTAATAAAACATTGATTTATCATGGATGATTTCTTTTTCTTTAACTTTCTTTCTCACGTTTATGGATTCGCTTAATGGTTAAAGAATGAACATGTACTTACCCGGCAAAAGTATGAATGGACATATGTGCAAAGATTAGGCGCACAGAACAGATTCGATTCCCCAATCCCCACAAGATCGCTGCTTAGTTCACGAGATTATTGGGTTTCTTACGATTAGGCGACATGGATTTCCTCGTCATTTAGAAAAATGACATAAAACAAAAAAAAAGGACATTGATTTAGCATCACTATCTGCAATTTAGAACTTGAAAAGTGCATATCACTCCAGCTCTGCGTTTTAATGCTTGTCCAAGTACAAAACTTCCAACCGGATTGGACAATATATGATCAAAAAAGCGAGTGAAAGTCACCTTTCCTTATGATTAATCTGTCCCCACAAAATTCTTGCGTGTCAGGTGAGAAAATCAACATTTTAATTTGAAATTTTGGAAAAAATCTCATGTCTAACATTAGGTTCTAAGGACCGAGTCAATTCCACTTTGCTGGTGTGGTTGCTACTTCTGTTTCTCATGACTACTTTGGGTTTCTGCAGGATCTTTGATGGAGAAACCAGGGCATGCCCTGTTTGCAGGAGACCCGTCAGGAAAGTGAGGAAGTGGTTCACCTCATGAGATAAACACACCGTTTTGTTACGGTTTAAAGATTTTCTTGGGTTTTATAGCGATGATTTCAGTGGAAATTTTTGGTCCTTGGCTCGAGTTATTAGGATTAAAATTGATGATTGCGCTCACCACTTCATGTTCATGGTCACATGAGAGTTGTCTGTCACCGTGAGAGGTCAAACTGATTGTGGGAACTTCAAGCGTACAGATGGTCCCTAAGGCCCCAAGCAAACGTTGTAAAGCAGCCCACAAGTCAGAAGGTGACAGGAAAATATGACTAAACGAAGTGTAAGCCTCAGCTCAATTGAGACACACTCTTCACTTCTTTCGGCTGTCCATAGATATGTACATTGCATGTGACTTTTCTGGGGTTAATAAGAATGCATTCTCTTCAAATTTTTGGTGCTGAAGAGGGGAAGCTACACAAAGTCCTCGCGAATTTTTAGGGGGTGGCATGCGTTTTCTAGTCGAACTTTTGATCACTGAACGCCTCTTATGAGCTGCATACATGTCGAAACTGAAAACTTTTAAGTACTGAATGTTAAGTGTGGAACGATATAAGTGCTGAATTATATAAGTCAAATATCTTTGATGCAGTCTGATTTTTAAACTCTAAATTTACTCAAACTATTTAATTAAGAATTCATTAATAATTCAGATCAGAGGATGACTCATAATCCAAATAAGTGGTCTATTCGGAAGACTTCTACTTTTGATCTTTTACTGGCACCTTTCAAAAATACACTAATATACGCCAAGAAAGTATTCTAACTTGTGCCTCAGCGAGGTCATTTTTGACTTGTTGCAAGACTGGGCCATGGCTCTCGTCCTATATGTTGGCCACGAAAATGGCACGCCCAAGACCACCATAATCAGAAACCGAAACACGATAATGGAGAAATTGTCGATTCGCGTACCGGATTTGGAATCCATCGAACTTGACGCGGAATTTGCGACGGTTTCCGAACACGAACTCAAGTACTTCTCCCCTATCCCCTTCGTTAGAACACTGGCCTAATGAGATTGCCACTCACGAGAAGAAAGTTCTCTCAAAATCAGTATGTGAGTCGATTGTGCGTAAATCGGGTTAGGGGAGGGACTTGGCTTATTATTTGTAGAGTCTTCGACCAGCGGCCACTCATTACAGGCGGGCCGTCTTCGGCCATGGCAAGTGCCCATATTAGATTTATTAAGAACCTATATATCTTACCTTTATTAGACCAAACTAATTCAGTTAATTTCAATTAATGAAGCCCACATTACGAAATTCTTACACTATATATATATATAATGTGTCATAATATTTGTAAATCTAAACCAGTACTTTTACTTTAAAGTTTTAGAGGAATATTCATGACCAATAATTAGGAGTAGAGAATAAGTATGTGGAGCCAACCATCGCATGAAAGGCGAGTTGAGGACTTTGAAACGATGTCACTCTTGAATCACACTCAATCTCCCAAGAAATATCTGGTGCATACCTATCAGATGAACTGGTGCTTGAAGGGGAAGGAAAGCGAAACAGAAAGGAGACCCGCACGCGCATTGAAGTGCTACAGAACAAGATCTGTTTGGTCATCTGTTCTCTCATCAATGTGACCCCACGACGAAGTGGGGATGCCTTCTCTTCATTTCAAGGAACGCAACACGAGAGACGTTTCAAATTGAACGACTTGTGCCTTGGATTTTTTCTTCTTTTTTCCTTTTTGGCCTTTTTTGTTTCCCCTTTTCTTTAATGATTCTTTCAAATGGGTCATGATGTGTTCAGGCCGCAAAATCGAATGGTGGTGGACAATGGAGAGCGACAGGGAGCACCAGATGCGGTCAAGGAGGGAATGCAAACCAAAGCTTGTTCAAGAAGCTCGAGGCACTTAAATGAAGTTAAAAGGAGAATGTAAAAATACAGTGCTTTGTGTGCTTTGGGACCCTTTATATTTAGGGCGTTTGGCGGTGGCCGATGACCGGCTAGAGGCGAGGGTCGGCGAGGTCGGCCCGCTAGCCTCGGGCTTGAGGCTCAGACTTGCCATGGCTGAGTGAGGTCGGGCCTCGCCATGGCTCCAAAAGATTAAAATATTATTAAATTTTATCCACGTCAGCGTCGGTCACGCCATGTAGGACAGCGGGTGTCCGCATCAGAAATTTGAACTCAATTGGTAAAAGGTGAAAAGGTGAAAAGATTCATGATTTAATTGGCAAAATTGAAAGATTTACGACCGAATTGACAATAATGTAATAGGTTTAGAACTTTTTGGATAATTTTTCGCTTTTTTTCTCACTCACTACAAGAGGAAGACAGAAACCAGTAAGAAAGATTCCGTCCACACCAACTGCGAAGTTGCCACACATCGACAAAAGCACTAAAGCACAAGATGTCTGCTCGTGACTACGTGGGATTCGAACAACAATGTGCCAATGTGCCAATGTGCCAAAAATTGAATAGGGAAAGGAAAAAAGAAATAACAAGAGCTCACATGATGACCATAGAAAGTAGCAATCAGAGCTGTTTGCTTTTGACCCATCAACAAAATCATTTTAGATCAGAAGCCAACTATGTCTAGACTGCAAAGCGCCATTGCTTCTGCTCGGATAACATTTGTTTTTAGGGCAATAAAGTTGAATGTTCACGGAACTTTGGATCACAACTTGTCTTTTCTTATAATTGTTAAGGAATCTTTGCAGGAGTTGGGGAGAAAGATGCACCATCCACTGCCCACTTTGGAATTTGAGTTCACCAACCTGCTATTTGGACAGGTTGAGTTTGTATTAGATATTCAAGGATTTTTCTTTTTCGGATGTAGATTACGTTTATTTCGTCGAAAAATATGACATTTTTTTGGAAAATATTTTTCGAAAAGTTATTTCCACTGAGAGTAACAGTATTCATCGGTGTTTGACTGAAATCTGAAAATGAATAGGAAAATAATTTCCATTGCTTGGTAAGGAAAATCGAGACATATATTATTCGGGCATTAGCGACTTATGCACGAACAACTGGGGAACTGGGTGTGAGCACCGAGGTCTCGGGTTCGGCCTTGATGAACCTTGACCCAAGCGACAAGGACCCAGGCACGGCAATTGATCCCTAATGCACATAAGTTAGGGGGGCGAGAACCTGATGCCTATGCCTAGGTCCTTGGCATCCCGCTCAGCTCGGGTCCACAGAGGCCAAGCCCGAGGCCTCTGTGACCATGCTCGGATCCCTGATACTCGAACCTAAGTCTATCGAGACTGGGTCCAGGTTCACAGAGGTTGAGCCTGGGAACATATTTTCTGTTTTTCCTCAATATTTTTTGTTTTTCCTTTTTAAGATTAAAAATACACTAGCCAAAACCTCTACATTGTTATATAATTTCATTAATTGAAATATGTTCACCTTATTGTTTTATGATATGTGAGCCATGACTACACGCAGGAGAGTCCTATAATTGACATGAATACGCTTCTTATATTAAGGGGCACCACGAATTGTTAATTATCAATCCTATAGTTACATACCGGTGTTCGATTAAAAGATAACTTCACCAAGAAAATGGAACTTAGCTCCTACGAAAGCTTCCATAGCCTGTCCTCATTCTATGGGACATACTCCACGGATGTGTTCCTTATTTTAATGTGCTGGTGTACACACGCCTCGCACTCCTAATTTCTCTATATCTTTGACTTTCCTAAGGAGATGGGATACCCCGCGAAAGTTTTACAAGCAGGTGATATTTAGGTCCGGACGAAAACAGAGATGGAGCCTTTTAAAGACGTGCTCGCTCTATGATGCCCTTATCTTTAAAATTTGATATTGTTTGGTCCTAAATTAATGGGTTTCGGAACCATTCACTTCAATGCGCGCGGCCCCACATGGGAGAGTGTGGCAAAATCGAAGAGGGCAGGCGCGTGTGACTTACGCTCCAGCGAGTGCACGTGGGAAACCGCAAAAATGGGGTACCCCTCCCGCGGAATTTTCAAAACGGGGGAAAAACATCTGTCGTCACTAGAGGCACGGAGGAGCCCGTGCAACCACGGGCCAGGCACGGTCGAGGCGCACGCGCGCACGTGTCCCGCTCCTACTCGTCCTCGCTCGCGCCCCTCTTCCTTCGGGTCACGGTCATCCAAAGGACCCCACGCAACTTAGGCCTAATTAAAAAAAAAAAAAGCATCAATTTTAGATCGAGCGACAATTTCGATCCCAACTTTTTTTTTTATCTCGTAAAAAAATACCAACTTTAGGACGAGTAACAATTCTTGCCCTAATTTTTTTTTTGTCTCATAAAAAATCACTAATTTTCACTTAAATCCCAAATCCAATCCCCTTGATTTAGAACCAATTGATTATTCGACTTGACTATTTCACCTCAGCAATAAATTCACATGGCTTGCTGACTGGATTTAAAGCACTATTCATTGTCTTATTCTCTAAGCCACAGCTTAAAAAATAACGGTAAAACTGTTGATCTCTTTCACTTCACCGACAAGTCAAAAAGATCTCCTTATCGAATCGCTTTGGTCAGACTGTAATTTAAAGCTATAGACCACCGCCCATCGACAGACACCATGAACGAGATCTGCCGAGCTCACGACTATGACCTTTTTTTTTCAAACAAGGGAGACTTATGACATAAAGCCAACGGGGGGCCAAATTTGGGATAAGGATGAAAGTTGGTAATTTTTTGTGAGACAAAAAAGTTCGGGCCAAAATAAAAAAAAATATTTAGTTCAAAATTATCATTCTATCTAAAGCCTGTGCATGTTTTTTGGAATTAGCCCCGCAACTCACCGTCCGTCGCGGTCAAATTCGTCGAAAAATGAGGAAAAACGGCACCGCCCGCCACGTCGTTTTTGCCAGCTCGCACCCCCACCTCCTTTTAGCCGTGCCGGATATTTTTCTACGACTTTATACGGCTTCGGTTCTGCGGGAAGCGGGTCGATTCGACGTCGCTGCGCAGTTCATACTCAATCCAAGAAAATATTCGACCCCCAAAAAAAGAAAAAAAAAGTCAAGAAAGTAAGAGCCATCGTGGCCCGTGGGGCCCCACTGACTAAGACGCGCCGTGATGTCATGTGATGGATAATGACTAATCAAACCCCGAAAAAGGGCAGCAAAGTGGGGTTAATTTCGGAAATGCAGATGGGTTTTTGACTTTCCTTTTTTTTTCTTTTTTTGGGGGGGGGGGGGGGGGAACCTTGTGAGTTTTGAAACTGTGAAGCAATTATTGGGGGCTTGGTTTCAAGCTTTTTTTTGCGGTGCCGATGTGGACAGCTCAACAGTCACTTCTGAATTTCTGATCTGATTTTCAGCACGGTCATTTTTTTACTCGGCATGTTTTATTTTTAGTAAGAATTTTACAATTTTTTCCTGCCAAATTACGGCTTGTTCTACCTCTCGGGACTATTTTATCGTATCATCATGCTAGCGATTTTTTTCGTCAAGATTGGCCGGAAGGGCTATAATTGGTAATTCTCCGAAGATGTAGGACCGAACTGATCAAATTGAAAAATTTAAAACTGAATTGGCCGCCGGACGATAAAGCTGTGGCTTTTTAGATAGTTCTTTTTTTCTTGTATTATGCATTCTTGTACTTTGAATGAAGAAGAAAAGATACTTACGGAAACACTTTACAGACATCTCCATCAAAATAAAACCCCTTACTTCTCGAGAAGGCTCGCGAAATTTCACAAAGCTAGGCCAGTTTTTCAACATGGGCTGTAACTGTATGCCGATGTCATTGACATAAAGTCACCTTAGCCAAAAGAAAAATTTACAAGTACTTGGCGGACCTAATCCCACATTACTCTAGTTATGATCACTAGGCGACGTCCCTCTGAAGCAATCTCACATCATACTGGTTCAACGTATTCGTCCTTGTCTTGTTATATGTTTTCGATACATGTGCATCAATATCTGTAATAGGATATGAAACAACATTGTATAGCGGTGGATGAGTAGACAAACATTAACAACCATTACTGTGTACTTTGAGGATTTAATTGCACAAAATAAGAGAGGTCGAGGACATGATTGAATTATTTTTAAAAAATTTAGGGACATGTGTTTGCATACGAAATACAAAAATGTAACCTTATAGTACATCCATCCATAAAAGAAGGAATAAGTGCATTGAAAGTGTCTAAAATTTGTCGCGAAAATGAAATTGAATCATAAAATTTTCAAAAAGCGCAATTAAGTCATAAGTGCAATTAAGTCCTAAAACTTACCAAATTTGTCCAATCAAGTCCTTCAATTGATTACACTTTTTGAAATTTTTAAGACTCGATTGCACTTTCCCCACAAGTTTCGGGACTTGATTGCACTTTTCGAAAGTTTCAGGACTCGATTGCACTTTCGTGATAAATTTTAGAACTTCCGGTATACTTATCCCTTTAAAATAAAAAGGTTAATACCACAAAGAAACCCCAAATTAGTACATCCGTGACGAATTTACTTCAAACCAATTTTTTGATCACCAAAAATCCCAAACTGGCACACTTGTGACAAACTCACCTCCGTTGGTTTCCGTTAAATTTTACCGTCAAATTGTTGAGTTGGATGGCACGGGACAGTTGACGGGTGCACCAATTTGGAGTTTTACCCTTCGTTTGTCAATATCAGTTTATGATTTCTCATGGTATTAATCTAATTTAACGAGCACTAATGAAGAGTAAATTTGTCACAGCCGTATTAGTTTAATCCCAAAAAAAAAAGAAACAACGTAAACGAAATAGCTAGTGAGTGAGGGGGGAGGAGGAGGAGAGTGGCAGTTTTCTCAGCTTCCCTTTCTCGTAACGATAAAGCCAAGAAAGAGAGAGAGAGAGAGAAACGGAGAAGCAAACCTTAACTTCCTCAACGCCAACCTCCCTCCCTCTCCGTCGCCATGGGACCTCAAGACGAGCGCCGGCAGCCCCTCCTGCACTCCTCCTCCGACACAGAAGAGGAGGCCGCCTACGACGCCGCCGAGAAGGTCCAGATCGTCTCCGGCGGCGGCGGCGACGGCGACGGCGACGACCCCTCCGCCTCCTCGGGCCGCCCGTCCTCCTCCGGCGGCGCGCCGCCGTTCTCGTGGCGGAAGCTGTGGCTCTTCACCGGCCCGGGGTTCCTGATGAGCATCGCCTTCCTCGACCCCGGGAACCTGGAGGGCGACCTCCAGGCCGGCGCCATCGCCGGCTACTCCCTGCTGTGGCTCCTCATGTGGGCCACCGCCATGGGGCTCCTTGTCCAGCTCCTCTCCGCCCGGCTCGGCGTCGCGACGGGGCGGCACCTGGCCGAGCTGTGCCGGGAGGAGTACCCGCCGTGGGCGAGGATGGTGCTGTGGGTGATGGCCGAGCTGGCCCTCATCGGCGCGGACATACAGGAGGTCATCGGCAGCGCCATCGCCATCAAGATTCTCAGCAATGGGGTCTTGCCCCTCTGGTCCGGCGTCGTCATCACTGCCGCTGATTGGTGAGCTTCTCGATTCGATTGAAGTGGAATCTTGATTTCGATCCTTGCTTTTTGTTTCTTTGTGGTGACTTCATAGTTGTTTTTTTCTTGAATTTTTTGGCAAGATGGAAATTTTTTTAATTAATTTATGTTAGCTTTTGCCTTTGCCTTATGAATTTGCAGGGGTCTTGGTGTCGGTGCGGAATTTCGCTCTTTGTGGTGTTTTCTTGATAAAAATTTTGTTCTGTTTTTGTTTCGTCCAGCTTTCTCTTTGTCGTGGGGTTTGAGGCTCGTTGTTGGCTTTAATCTGAGTTGTGTGCCGGAGGCCTTTTGGATTTTCTTTGCCTTTTCTCTGCAGGAGAGGATAGTTATCCGTGGGTTGATTTTTACTTTTCCTTTTCATGTTTCGAGGATTGTCTTTGTTGGGTTAATTGCAGTTTTTCTAATGACATGCCAAAGTTTTTGAAAGGATTTATATTGAGTATTTTCTCGGGCCCTTTAGGAGTTGTCAGATTTTGAATTTACTATTTTGCTCGGTCAGGCCAATTCACAGAGTAAATAGAGTCGCTGAGTAATGACAATAGTAGATTGAGTTGAAGTTTCCTAAGTTGCTGTCTGAAAGCAAATGCAGCCCATCTAGAAAAGTGACAAGCTTCTGATAGGGGTGATTTATGCTATCTATTCGTAGAATGCTTCCTGAATCTGAAATCTCCATTACTGTTGCTGCAGCTTTATCTTTCTGTTACTTGAGAACTATGGAGTGAGGAAACTTGAAGCATTTTTTGCCTTCCTTATTGCAACGATGGCAATGGCATTTGCCTGGATGTTTGCTGATGCAAAGCCAAGTGGAACCGAGCTGCTTTTGGGTAATTATAAATAGTTTCTTATAATTGTTCTTCTCAGATTGTGCTTAACTGAGATCCACAATAGTAACCTTGGGGACAGATGGTAAACCGAATTCTCTTTGCAGGCATGTTGATCCCGAAACTTAGCTCCAGAACAATAAAGCAAGCCGTGGGAGTCGTGGGTTGCATTATTATGCCTCACAATGTGTTCTTGCACTCGGCCCTCGTGCAATCGAGGGAGATTGACCATAACCAAAAGGGCAGGGTCCACGAAGCCCTGAGGTATTACTCAATAGAATCCACTGCCGCCCTCGTGATCTCCTTCATCATCAATCTCTTTGTCACGACTGTTTTTGCGAAGGGTTTCTACGGCACTCCGGCTGCCAACAGCATTGGTCTTGTAAATGCCGGGCAGTATCTCCAAGAGAAATACGGGGGAGGCCTTTTTCCTATACTGTACATATGGGGAATAGGGTTGTTAGCTGCGGGGCAGAGCAGCACCATCACAGGCACTTATGCCGGGCAATTTATAATGGGGGGTTTTCTTAACCTGCGTTTGAAGAAATGGTTGAGGGCGTTGATCACGCGGAGCTGTGCGATCGTGCCGACTATGATAGTGGCTCTTGTTTTCGATACTGAGGAGACGCTAGATGTTCTGAACGAGTGGCTTAATGTGCTCCAATCAATACAGATCCCTTTCGCACTTATCCCTCTTCTCTATCTGGTCTCCAGGGAGCAGATCATGGGCTCTTTTAAGATCGGCCCTGTTCTTAAGGTATGCTGCAATTTCATTTTTCTGCTGTGTACCCTGATCGTTTCGACGTTGATTGATGCACTATTCTTTATTCGCTTTCTTTTATTGCCTTCCAAGTAGCAGCTAAATGAAGGCCAACTATGCGAGTGTATACCTCAGAAAGAACATAAAGGCGTGAATGTTAGTTGTAAGAAGGACAAGAAAATGATTGCCTACGTGGATAGTAGACCCATCGATAGTGGATCAAAGAAATTAAGTTTTTGATGTGTGAACTGCTTGCCTCTAAAAGGCCTCCCTCTTATTTTGTTGTGATTACAATGGCAGATTGTGATTGTGAGTTCAGTTTTACCAACGCTATTCTGTCTTCTTCTGCATTACTGGCGGCGGATAATTTTTTATGCTTTAGCGTGCGATTCTTTCTAGTTACTTCCATTCTTATGCTGTATACACGTACATTTATATGCCTGTATGTGCAGTAAAGTAGGGTTTAACCTACAGGGACACTGGTGCAACTCATTCTAGATACCTTGATTTCGTCTGTGAAATACTTAAATCATAACTCTTTGGTGATCGAGTGGATTTGGTTGCAAACTTTTCATGAAGTCTCATCATCTTAACAATTGTCAGTTCTCCGCATTCTTTGTGGAGAATTATTGTAATGCCATCTGCTTTCACAAGCTTCTGATGTTGTATGAAGGAACTGTGGAGTACCGTAGCTAGTTAGGCATGATGAGATTTCACTAGTAAATCAGAAAAGCGCTTGTAGCTTGTAAGAAAGCATTTGGTTTTCTCATGCTCTGGCTCGATAAACATTAGTAAACATCTCTTAATGAACTGTTTGAATCGGCATTCATCGTACTCATGGTAACAACCCTGAAACTATCGTCCTTTCTTGTTTCTAGATCGTCTCTTGGCTCGTGGCTGCTCTGGTGATTGTGATCAACGGCTATCTTTTACTGGATTTCTTCTCCAATGAAGTAACCGGCATTATGTTCGGCACCGTCGTGTCTGGTTTCACGGCTGCCTACGTCGCATTCATACTGTACCTTGTTTCTCGGGGCCTAACGTTTTCATCGTGGCGCAACCTCGTACAATCTAAGACGGTCACTGCCACAGAGAGTTAAAAGCGGGCCAATCGATGGAGTCTGGTGTACATTAACAGACACTGCTTCAATCCGGCAGCCTTTTATTTGTGAAGTCATTCAAGGGCTCCTCATCATATTGGCATATCTACAGTGTCGTTTTGGATGAAGCGTGTACTTTTACACTTAGACGCACTCACAGGGACCTGTGTAGAGAGAATTGAATCCGAGCCATTGGACTAAAACGAGAGAAGGGTTCAAAGAAACCAGCTAAATGTACAATTAGGCTATTCGATATTTCAGCTGTGGACAGGGTTACTGAAATGGAAAACATTGCAGTGGTATGATGTTAATATCTTTGGCTTGGATACTTGTGGACATGTTACTGCCTTACATGTATGATATATAGCTCATAAAACTCCTTATGTTGAAAACAGAAGTGCAAAGAAACAAGAACACAAAAAAGTTGAAGTCCGCCTAATGTTTGCCATCCGTTTGTGTATGTTGTCAGGTGTCAACGGTCGGATTGAGATTTGCCGAATGAAGCGTTAGTAGGATAACAAATGGGGTCATGTCATCATATTAGGGTCATTACCAAAGTATTTCAACATAATTATGTGTCCATTATAAGTTAGTCGTGTCGGTATTCGTCTTTCTTTCAAATGAGTTCTCATTGTGTTTATATCGTGTTCTGGGACGGTGTCGGAAGTGCGGTTCACTGGAGTTGGAGTTGTGCTTTATAAGTGCATATCATAAGTCCATTTGCCACATTCATCTCTAGATGCTCAAATCCTTATTCTTTCTCCATCTGTATCCGTAGTTTCGTTCTTTACCATTGCTTTGCCGGAAGTCGATCAGTATCATCAGCTTCCTACATATGCGAATCTGACTGATGATGGTCTCATGATCTCATGCTGCCACAAAGTAGCGAGTCGAAATCAAACCTTATTGGAAGTTAAACTTCTTTGAGGAAAATTCCAAAAGACACCCTGAAGAAGTGCCAAATTTGCAAATAGCAACATAACATGGATTTGGTCTCAATTAACACCCCGAAGCAGTAACCTGTGTCACAATCGACCCCTCAACTCACCGCAGCCAAATTTCATACCGGACAGCGAGCAGGTGATTTTCATGTGCCATATCTGCGCCTGATGAAAGGGTATTATTGTATGAGAATCATAATATTTGACTAAAATGCACGGGATCATCAAAATCCTTAATTGGTGCCGAAAAGCTCCAATTGACGATCCCAAACGAGCAAACACAAAGAAAGGATGAAATTGAAGGTGAAAGAACAATGCAGGCGTGACAAAGGGACTGTAATGTGAACAACATGGATTGATGCTAGGGATGTCAACAGTTCAGTTCTGTTCGGGTTTACATGATACCGAACCGAAACGGAAGACTGCATATAACCCAAGTCCTTGGGTCGGGCCGGGTCAAGTTTTGAGTTTTTTTTTTTTGGGAACCTCAAATAACAGAGTAAAGTCAATCATGTTGCTGAAAACCATTGTTATTCTTCCTCTACTTTTGATACTGATGTAACCTGAACTAAATTTGCTTTGGAAAGGCGTATGAACCATTGGTGTTCTTCCTCTGGTTTTGATACAGTCACAGAAGCTTATGTATCATCACCATCAACCTCCGGTTTCACAAAGAACTCAACATAAGCAATTCGATTGGATTGCAGATAACCAGATGTGTTGTGTTGGTGCATAGCAGAAGATCTTGCAACTGAAACCAAGTGCTGAACTTTCAACATTCCACCTATCCCAATTGTTAACTTGCTTCCTCTGTTGGACACCTGATCTTCTGGTGAGTGTGGCGCTGCTCATTTGATTTTGTTGCTCCTCCACCTCCAGCCATTTTCTCTTCTCACTATTCACTGCTTCTTGGAAAAAGCCTTGTCCTTCTTGATCAATACAAAGAAAGAACACACCCCCCCCCCCCCCCCCCCCACTCAATCAATCAAAGAGAAAAAGCAACTAGCTCAGCACAAATCTAAGCAAAAGCTATCTCAGAGCAAACCCAGACGCCCCCAAATAGGATGCGCCGAACCCAAAAACACAAAACATAAAATTGACAAAATGCAAATCCATATACCACATTGTCGTGACCTTCCCTGGCTTCACCACTGGAGGTTGGCTAATGGATTACTAAGCCTAAATCTAGCTTGGGCTCTCCCAAGTTTAAACCAATTCGCAACTAGGTTCTTCTTTTCCCTTTCTTCGTATCGTCTTCTTCCTTGCTTTTTCTTCACCGAGACTTCCTGCACCAAGAGTGACGTCTCCAACATCGACTGACCTTCGCCGGTGAACTAAAATCAAGCCTACATTGGCGCCGACAACCGACGGTCAACACCGACGACCAACATGCTTTGTCGAACTGCAACATCGGCCGTCGATTCCAGCCAACTTAAAAACATCGTTGGCGACCACCTTTCCACCGAATGAAATACTCAAAACAACAACCATTCCAGCATATTAAAAACACAAATGCGCATTAAAACAAAGAAGAATGGACCGACTATGGTGGCCTCTAACCGCGAGCATCGTTGACAAGGAATGGATTCACCGGCAAGTTTGTTCATCCATGGCCGACTGGAAAATCGAAAGACATGCCATAATATCAAAGGAAATCACTGGGTCGGACATAATTATTCAAAACAACGAAGTAACTGTGCATCAATTCAAGCTGTAAACTCCGATTATGCTAAACTTTTTTCAGCACTTCACTCGGGCAATCTATCAAACAGGTGTTATGCGTTTTGAATACAAGTTTCAAATTCAAATCTCACCTGTTTAATGTGAAAAACCAAGGCTCTGAGTGTTGATTATATCAACTATAGACGCTTCAATGATCTATGCTCAAAACATAACTCGGCAAATGCAGGTATTTAGTCCCCTTGGTGCCCCTTGTAGGACTCTCAAAACTCAACAAATGCAGGCATTCAATCCCTTTGGTGCCTCTTACGAGACACATAACTTAGCGAATGCAGGTATTCAGTCCCCTGTTGTGCCTTCATAGGACTTACCTTGTCGGGACCGATTCTTAGCATCCAGCTAAATTCTTGTCTATTAGGACCAACTTTTAGCATCTAGCTAAATTCTTACCTGTCGGGACCGACTCTTAGTATCTAGTTCAATTCTTATTCTGAACATAAGGCCTTATAGCCTCATTACCAGGATAAGATATCTTATCATTTTAAGATCCCTAATACCGTACAGGAATTTAAAGAGAAGGAGAGAGAGCATTTAGCCTTGCATGATTCACAAAAACACTACATAGGTTTTATTATTAAGGGAACTCTGTCCTTCAAACGATATAACCATGCCTTTATATAGGCATGGGAGAAAGATAAAACAAACAACGCGACCAATTATTGCTATCACGTGACCAATTATTGGCGCACACACTAATAATACATCGACACAACCAATTATTGGTGTCATGTGATTAATTATTGGCACACACACTAATAATACAACAACGCAACCAATTATTGGTGCACATTTTATTAGTTACTATCTGATGATAACGAAGAGCAACATGTCTCCATCGCCTTTTTTGAACGGCTTATAACACCTTCCTATCTCCATCTTCTTCTCCTTGCTTATACGCTTTCCTTCATAAATCTAGAAGGGAGAATCTCAAAAGTAGGTCCAGTTCACGACTTTTTGAGAGGAGACTGATAAGAGCTTGATGGGATATCATTTGATTCTAATGGAATGTTTGTTGGGTCGAAGTTCATTATAGAATCTTGCACATTGAGGGATAGATGTGTTTCGGGCATTACTGGCCGTGGCCAATTGTCCACATTCATCAATGATGAGGAGTTTCTCGAGCTTGATGACAGTCCACAATCAAAAGGATCTTGAGAGAGTGGTCCACCCCCTAGGCCTTTGATGACGACTGCTGGTCTAGATTATTTTTTTTTAATTCCGCCAAGGCAGCCTTAATCAGGGGCTTTGTATTTAGATAATCCCACGGTACATCAGTATTGTCATTAGGCCAAACTCCTAGAAGAATGTTGCAATTAGTTTCACAGAGGACTTGCTAAATTTTCCTGTATGCTCGTAGATTGACTCTAATATAGTATGAGAGCGTCTTATAAAGTTTGACAGGGACTACTTGAGCTTTATAGGTCATGATTCCTATATCGGCTAGATACTTGGAAATGTTGTTGTCTAGCTTGACAAACATCCATGGCTTGCATGCTCTTACTTGTTCAGTGAAAAAGACTTTCCATACTCTTAGGTTACGCTTGGTAGTTGGGATAAAATTCAGGATATGATAGATTTTATCCTATCTCGTGTTTGGTGTTTGTCCAAGACAGCATAAAGTCGGATATAGAGAGATATAACCCGGATAAAATTATCCCATGGAGGAGGTGAGATAAAGGTGGATAGGATTTCTAATATCCATAATATAAAAGTTATTTTTCTCAAACAACAAACTTGTTAAATTAATAAAATTAAAATTATATTTGAATAAAAATAATAATTGAGTTTTAATATAAAGAATTCAAAATAAAAAATAACAATAAATTCGTTTTTATTTATTCTTATTTTTATTTATATATTCATTTTTCTTTCTATCTTATGATATAAATTTCATCTATATATTTATAAATACATTTAGTATTTATATTTATTACATATTTTAGGCATATTTTTATAGTTTACTATTTAATAAAATTTTATTAGAGAATGATGGGAGGGAAAAAAAGAAATAAAAAAGAAAATAATTTAAAGAGAGAGGGAAAAATACTAAAAATATAAGCAAATAAAAATGAAGTAGGTAAGAGTATCATGAGAAATTTTTATCATCTCCGTTTGTGCAATTTTCATGTTCATTTACACTGATACGATGTTCATAGCAAATATTGGGCATGGTAATATATAAAAAAATCCAGCTTTATTACTGCGATTCGCCAATTAGTAGATAGGATATAGCAAATCCCTTGGATTTTATATCTTATCCTATCCAATTATATCTTGGCTAGAAGTCCAGACAAACGTAGCCTTAAGGGTTTAAACTAACAAAGTATTTCCGCAAAATGATGGTATTTTCTGCCACCAATTTCTCATATTACTTGGCCGATAATTCTTGACATCTTTTCGGTTGGAAACTGAATGGCAAAAGTATAACAATTAAATGCATACTAGTAAAACCATTTGAGTTCTTCCGAAAATTCATCATCCGGAGAGAATGACAAATGATGAATGAACGAATAATCTGAATGCATGCCACTTGGTTGTATATTTAGCGCACCATACTTTCTGAAGATCTTATACTAATTTCCCTACATGAGGTTTGTGAAATTATCAAAAAGAATGTTGGATTTGATCAAGTCTGGAACTTGAGGATGATACAATCTACTAAGGAATATGGGCTTCATGTCTTGTGATCGAAATCCACCGGTCGGATTTCTGGAAAAGAATACAAACAATGAAGAATCTTCTTTGGGTCTG